ACTATGCATTGGTAAGTGGCACCCGCATTTTTTGCTCCGAATGGCATTACATTATAACAATAGGTTCCATATTTAGTGATGAAGGAAGTCTTTCTTGGTCGTCCGTGTCCATCCGGATCTAGTTGTACCCGAAGTAGGCGTCAAGAAAGCTGAGTATCTCGTGGCCGGCCGGCGCATCGATCATGCGATCGATGTTTGGCAAAGGAAAAGAGTCTTTGGGGCATGCCTTGTTCAAGTTTTTATAGTCTATACATATTCTCAATTTACTTCCCTTTTTAGGCACTACCACTATGTTTGCAAACCAATCCGGGTACTTAACTTCCTGAATGGAGCCTATTTTAAGAAGTTTGGATACCTCGTCTTTGATGAATGCATGTTTGACTTCGAACTGAGGCCTCCTCTTCTGTTTAACCGGGTGAAACTTTGAATCCAAGCTCAGCTTGTGAGTAGTTATTTCCGGTGGGATCCCTGTCATGTCAAGATGGGACCAAGCGAAGCAATCTATGTTAGCTATAGGAATTCAATGAGTTTTTTCCTGAGCCCAGGAGTTAGTCCTGTGCCCATGTATACCTTCCGATCGGGTAGGTGCTCGATCAACCTAACTTGCTCCAGCTCCTCAACTGTTGACTTGGTGGCATCGGAATCAATAGGGGCGATGAAAGACCCAGGGTCTCCGTAGTCGTCATCCTTGCCTATCTCCTGCTTTTCTGGTTTGGTCGGGGCCAGCGTCGGTGATTGCTATTTGGTTTCTCCCTTGGTGACAGAACTCGAGTTCTTTGATGCCGAGAATGCTGATATCGGGACCACCTCATTGATCGCGAACATTTCTCTTGCAGCCATTTGTTCCCCGTAAAATGTTTTGATCCTTCCCGGCGTAGGAAATTTCAACGTCTGATGTAGCGTCGAGGGTACTGTCCCCTATGTTGTGAATCCATGGCCTCCCGAATAAAGCATTGTGTCTCATATCTCCTTCAATCATTTAGAACTTTATTTCCTGAATGGCCCGGCGGTGTTTTGTCGGTAGGGTTATCTCCCATTTAGTGGTCTCGCATGCCATGTTGAATCCGTTTAAGACTCGGGCTGTAGGCACTATTTGGTCTTGCAGACCCAATTGTTCCACGACCCTCGATCTGATGATATTGGCCGAGTTACCTGGATCAATTAACACAACTTAACTCGAGATTTATTTATGAGTACAGATATTACCAGTGCATCATTGTGTGGTTGCACGATGCCTTCAGCGTCCTCGTCGTTGAGATACGGTATATGATATCGAGTCCATTTTCCCCTAGTAATGGATACTTTGGCGCATTTTAACATCGGCCCTTGGGGGACGTCAACTACACCAGTGATCATATTGATGACGTGTTGAGGTTCCTCTTGTCAATCTGCTTGTTGGCGTCCATATTCCTGAAGTGATTTTTGGCTCGATCACTTAAAAATTCTCGGAGGTGCCCGTTGTTGAATAACCGGGCTACTTTTTCTCTCAGTTGTCGGCAGTCTTCGGTTCTGTGGCCGTGAGTGCCATGATATTTACACATTAGATTGGGGTCTGTCTGGGAAGGATCAGACTGCAACGGTCGAGGACACTTAGTATCTTTGATGCGTCCGATGGCTGATGCGATACCGGCAGCATCGACGTTGAAGTTGTACTCTGATAACCTTGGTTCTTCCTTAGACCTGATGGGTCTGCCAAAACCGCTTTTGCTCATGAGTCCCCAATTATTATGACCTCGATCGCTCCTTCTTTCACTCCTCGCAGGGTTGCATCCGGACCTACTACTCCTTCGATCTCCATTGTATGGTCAATACCGATCTCTGTTCAATCTTGATTCATGATCGACGACTCTTTTTGATCTGTCACTAGTCCTGACGGGGTAAACAGATCCGAAAGGGGCCCCGAGCTGATCTTCTTCGACCCTGATTTCTTATTGGTACCTGTTATGGATGTCGGCCCAAGTTACCGCCGGGTATTCTATCAAATTTTGCTTCAACTGCTGTGAAGCCAATGAGCTTCCTTAGGTCAATGCCTAAACGGCTCAGTCGTCTGCGATCGGAGGCAGATCCATCCGTTTCATTTGAAACCTCGACACGAATTCCCTGAGCATCTCGTTATCTCTTTGCTTTACCTTGAAAAGGTCTGACTTCCTGGTCTCGACCTTGATGGCCCTGGTGTGTGCTTTTACAAAGGCATCTACAAACATAGCAAACGAGTCAATAGAATTAGGGGGTAAGTTGTAATACCATATCATAGCTCCTTTTGACAAGATCTCTTCGAACTTTTTCAGCAGAACAGATTCGATTTCATCATCCTCCAAGGCGTTACCCTTGATGGCGCATGTGTAGGAGGTCACATGTGCATTTGGATCAGTCATTCCATTATACTTTGGGATTTCGATCATACGGAACTTCTTAGGGATCTGCTTTGGAGCTGCACTCGGAGGGAAAGGCCATTGGACAAACTTCTTAGAATCCAAGCATTTCAGTATCGGTGGTGCTCTTGGGATTTGATCGATCTTGGATTTATAGGCTTCCACTTTTTTTGCCGTTAGCTTCGATTCTCTTTTATACCGTTTCTACCCGTTTCGTCAATTCCTCAAGCATCTTTATTATCTCGGGATTGGTCCCTGGTTCAGCTTCACTCGGCCTTTCTATGATTGGTTCATTTCTGCAAGTGTTTTCCTGGGATGGTTCAGGCTCAACTCTGCCGGGGGCACGACTTTGGTTCTGCAAGTGGTCTATCGCTGCCTGTTGAGCCAGTAACATTTCGAAGATCACCCGTAAGTTGATCCCATCGCCTTCACCGCCGTGCGTATCCCTGGCTACCGACCTGGCACCTCCGCGAATGCTGTCTTCCGGATCGGTGGGCAAGTTAGCATCGATAGCCACATGTGAGTTGGCATTGATTGGGTCTACGACTGGGGCCCGCTAGGGTCGGTAGGTTGAACCTCGTTGCTGGCTAGTATATTCTTTTTCTCGCCGTGGTGGCCAGATTCAGTGTCAACGTTTAGGTAAGCAGATTGAGAGTTTGACATCCTTAAGTTTTCTTGAAACTAAGATCTCAAAGAACAAGAGTAAAGCATAGTATGTTCTGGAAAATTCTATCAAATTGCCACTATTATCCTTATCCCCAAGGGCGGGCGCCAAACTGTTTACCCTAAGAAATGGATAACAATTGAATTTATATGTGGTTTTAAGGATATGCGAATTAATTCAATACAAATGATAAATTGTGTTAGATTAAACATGTAAAAGACATAATAAATTGTCAAACCACTCAAGAGGTGTGATTCCGGACTCAGTAACAGCCTTAGTGATATGCATGCCTTCGATCCCGGACTCACAATAATGAAACACTGATGAGCAAAAGTAAGAACTTTGAATAATAGAGAAAATAAGAGTATATTGCCTTGATGTGCGTGTTACAATTTCCCCCAATGAATAGTGAGACTCCCCTTTATATAGTAGGGGAGTTTTACTCTAAGTACAATTCTATAAAAGGTAAAATCTTCTGTTTTACTAATCACCGATCTTCTGCTGGTACGACCCGAGATTCACACCGTGACATCCGGTTAGGCACGAATATCACGGCCCTTTGTTAGTCGTGCTCGATTGTCTGACAATGTTCTCCGAAGTTTAGGGATTCAAATTGGGCCTGGGGGCGTGGCCCCGATTCATCAGAGGGTGGGTGTTTTGAACGGACCTTGATTCGAGGGGCTCCTTGCCTCGATTCCGGTTCCTTTCAGTCACATGTCTGCTTCGTTTGCTTCATCGATAACCAAGGCGTCCGAAGGGCTCGATTTTACCCGTATACACAAATGTTATATGATTTGGCGATTGGCATGAGTTATTTGGGTGCAAGGGAGGATCTATGCATGAGGTTGGGGGTGGCATACCACCCGCTCGTTTGGATAAAATCATATATTCCTCAAAATATCTTACATATTTAATAAGTGGCACCCCAAGTCACAAAATGACTGTAGGTGCCACACATTCGGAATCGAGACTTCCTAGTTTAATGTCCTAGTTATACTCTTGTTATCTTTCCTTTTTTTTTTATGGTCCTTTTCTTAATTTTTTATTTTATTTTCTTCAACTTTGCTATTCACTTTTTGGTACGATCCTATTCTTATTATTTTTTTAAATTCTATATCTGTTTCCTTTATTTTTTTTCTGGATCTTCAAATTTTATTTGCATGTAATTTTAATCATCTTTTCTTTTCACCCATCTAATATTAATTTTAATCAAACCTCTCTATAACAGCCTCATTTGTTCTAAATTTTTTTGGTTGTTATTGCAAAGTGTTGTTATAAAGAACGTATATTATAACATAACACAGAAATTAGTTCCATAAAAAACTTGACTTTTATAGTAAATGACTGTTATATAGCGATGATGTTTATAAAGAGATCTGGCTGTATTACTTTCGGAAATTTCTTATAGTGATGCGTCAAAGACATGATATTAATCCGCCACACGTAGATTGAAGGTGCGTATCACATATTCATTTATGCATAAAAATCTTTCAAATTGGATCTAGCCTCCAGGTAATATAAAAAATAATACTATAACAAAAGAGTCCATTACTCAAATAGATACCCAACTATCCAAAATTACATAATAAAGTTATTTTTCTTTTATTTGTAATACAAAAATCACTTAACTATACTTATAGCACTCAAAAAGTCACTCAATCAAAATTATCAAACTTTATGGTGGCTAATATCATTCTTTGACTGTTGTTGATGGGCTGGTCTGCAGGGTCGATTTGTTGAGATCATTCTTTTATTAATGATTTGATTTGAATTATTGTTTATTAGTCAAATTTCGAACTAATAAAATAATAAATTAAAATTGAGATAAAAGAAACGTTAAAAAAAAAAAAAAGTAAATAGAAGACACCATAAACAGAAAAATCAACAGGTCAGCTAAGGTCGGTCCATATCCACTTTAAAAAGGACCGGATATGGGTCCTGAATCTTCCACGTTGGATAAAGTATATTGTTTCTACATAAATTGACCCTTGGAATTCAAATAACTCCCTCGTCTCTGCAACTGAAATCGCCGTTTCTTGCTTTAGTTAGTTACCACTACTACTACTCTTGCAAAATTCTTCTTCCTCACAATGCTTTTGAAAAAGAGATGACGTTCTTGCATTTGAATTTTTATTGTCATCTACTAATGCTTTCGAACCTTGAAAAGCATAAGAATTTAGTTATTAATAGTACTTTTGTGTGTATTTATCTATTCAAATGTTTGCATGTATAGACGCAGCCATAATCACCTGTAAGAATACTGTTGATTCTGATCATGAATCTTTTTTTTTTTCCAATTCCTGGGTTGTAGTTTTGTTTCGTTAATTCTGTGGCTATTATTGTTAGTACTCTAACTCCCGGTGTAGTTCTCCAGATACAACAACAAGAACAACAACATACCCAGTATAATTCCACATGGTGGGTCCGGGTAGTTCCCCAGATAGTAGTAGGTAATTTCAGAGGCGGAGCCAAAATTTTAAGCTTATGGGTTTCGGATTCTAATCGTTTTAAGTTACTGGGTTCTAAAGTAATAATTTATACATATTCAAAGGATTTTCGGCTTCTGACACTCTAGCTCCGCCGCTGGGTAATTTACACCAGAAAAAGGGATCCTACTTCTAGGTTTTAAATGACATTTTTGAGCGGTTGTGGATGTAAGGCTTCAGATGTTGGGGATTGGAATTAGATACAACTCCACAATAATTTAGGGATCTCATAATTCAATTGTACTGAGGAAGTACAGAAGTCAAAATTCAATAGAATTATGTGCAGATGTCATTGTCTTCGGAGCGGATCCAGGATTTAAACTCTGTGGTTCAACCTTTAATGTTTAGGGTGTTGAACCGATTATATTTTTAAAGTTATGGGTTCATATCCACTATGTATTGCAATATTAATGAATTTTTTGCACATAATTTTGTTCTTCGCGTCGAAAATACTGGGTTCAAATGAATCTGGTAGCAAAGGGCTGGATTCACCCCTGATTGTCTCTATAATACATGGAAGTCAGCTTAGAAGTTCAATGGAACAAATTAAGAGTAGAAGCTCAATTCAACTGAATTAAGTGCATATGTTGTTCTCTCTAGATTCTAGAACATAATAGTGATAATGTTTTAAGCTAATACGGGAAAGATTCTGCTTGATATGTAGATATATGAATTGAATTGTATGACTCCAGCTGATAAAAAGATGGAAGTGGTACTCGGTGAGCAAAACTAAAAGAAAAAGAAAACAATCTTTTTAACATTAAAACACCTTGCCGTACCTTATTTAGTTTTTACTTCTCATCAGAGGCCATTGATTTTTCAATGTGAATGTGCAATTTTGTATGTTGATTTTGGTGATTTAACTTTTGAACTGTGATGGTGTTGCAGTCATCAACGGAGGATGCAGTGTGGCAGTTACGGGTTCAACCCGTAACTTTCGACGCGGAGTAAAAATTCATTAAAATTGCAAAAATAATAGATATGAACTCCTAACTTTAAAAATATAATGTGTTCAATGTTGAAAAAATTTAAAGTTGAACCCATAGATTCTGGATTCGCCTCCGGCAGTCATCAGCCTATGACATGTACAATGTTTTGAACCTTACTGTTTTACTTGTATTCTCTTAAGCGAGTAAATTAATCATTTGCTTTTTTCTATACATCATCAGGGTAGAATTTCTCAAGGAGATGGATTCATCTATATGGGGTCCACCTGAAAATCAAGGTTTGATATTCTATTATCCTAATTGGATTTCATGATCTTTTTTTTTGGTAGAAGAACTGCTGAAATGGATGGACAAATCCCTCTAGTTTAATGTCCTGACTTATTTTCTGTCACAGATGAGAGCAGTTATCCAGCAAACTGTTGGCAGTATAACTTGTATTTCGATCCACGGCTTGGTAAGTTCACATGTATAGCTCTTTTATTGTTCTTTTTGTTTGACATACCTCCCTCATCTATTTTAATTCACAGACGTGATCGAGCAAGATGCTTTAAATGAGGAATCTTGTCTGCAAGTATTAAAGATACTAATAACAAAAGCTGATTCAGAAATTGCTGAACTTGAAGATGATATACTGATGCTCCAGAGCCAACTGGCTTGTGCTTGTGCTGATAAGAAATCGTCTGATATGTGCTTTGCTGTATTACATAAAAAGATTGATAACCTGGAAAGTTTGCTAAGGGACTTAAAGAATGAGAATGAACAGGTTTGCATTATCACATGTTCTTATTTGTTGACTTTAGTCAGTACATGCTCTTTAGGTAGTACTAAATATTTGGTGCTTACTTATAAGTTATATCCATAGTGCTTTTGGCATCGATGACATTGTATGGCATATGTTACATATGGACCTTAAGCTCAAACTACAAATGCCTGTAATGTCTTCAACATGTCAAGTTCTTGAAGTCAAAAGAAAACACTATCATTTGTTTTGCAATTAGTGAACGATGAAGTTGTTGTATATGGACTTTTTTTTGGCCTTGAACAAATGGAATTCCAGTATGTCCTATTTAGGTTGGACAATAAAATAGAAACTTTGTTATGCCTTCTTCTTTCAGTGGCTTCAGGTAGCTGGATGCCAGGACACCTATATATAGCCTGACATACTATTTTGATATGCCTTGGATTTTAAAATCAACAGCCTGCAGAAACTGGTATCAGAAGTTCAAACCTGCCTGAAGAAGGTCTTACCAAAATGGAAGCAATAGACAATCACACAAAGGATATGAATACTGTAGAATTCAAGGATAATTACACTGCACAGGCCGATAACACAGTCTTGGCATCTCTGGTTCAAGTGAGGAATCACCAAAAGGCAGTAAGCTGATTTTTGAGATAAACCAAACTTTTAGAGTGTCTAAAAGTTCTTAACAATTTGAGTTCAGATTCCCAGAGGATTAGAAACAGAATATCAATCAATCAACTACATCTCAATCCCAGTTACTCCATGCGTACCATGTTATGTGATGTATTTTGACTAAATATGGAGTTTAAGAAAGAAAAAGATTTTTGAAACTTGTGGTCTTAAACATGCCATAACATTTGTGTGGTTATAAAAAGTTTCTCATTAAGGTAAAATGTGAAGTTTTGAAAAATTGTTTCCAAATATAGAAATGTGTCATTTATTTTGGAATGGACTAATAAGATAACAATATCACATGTATTAGAACATAGGGAATAGTTGGGATCGATCTTATGAATCCTCTCTTCTATTCAGGTCCATAGATCTTAAACCTCCCAGTTCAGATGTCGCTCATCATCCTCGGTATTTAGACAAAAAGAGTTTGAATTTTTATATGATTAACTTTTCTCCTAAATTTAGCAGATGATTAACTTTTCTCCTAAATTTAGCAGTTTAGATGATGTCTTTATTTGAGACCGTTCAATCAGAAAAGGTAAAAAAGTTCTTTGACAGCCTGCAGAAACAACTCTGGAGGACAGACATGCTTCAGAACAAGGAGCCAAAGAGTATAGCAGCAAACAAACACAGAAAGGAGTTTGGCCTACTAAAAATGATTTTACTATAGAGGAATCACTGCCACATCTGTTGAATTCTAAGAGGAATGACAGAAGCAAGCCACTAAATAAGCTAAAGAGGGGAGGTGATGGCTATGGGGACAATACCATCAAGAAAACTCAACTGGCTGAAGCCAAAAGAGCTGCTGGTTTTGCAGATATTAGTGCAACTTCTCAGTCCCACTTGAGAAAGAGGAGTAAATTCAGTGGACCAGTCATCCAAGACCAAGATAATAAAGATCAAAGAAGTGTTCAGAATAGGTTGGTAAAATCACATGGCAGAACAAGTCACGACCCTCCGGTCATTAACGGCTCCAGCTCCCATGATAACTCTAATGCTGATGTTTCTCCCGTGTCATCTATTAGACCATCACCTTGTATTGAAGATATCTATAATATGACACTGGTTCAACTCAGGGCCATGGCAAATCATCAACTAAATATATATGGGGTGTCCAACATTCGGAAGGCAGATTTGCAGGAATTGCTTCGCTCTAAGCTGCAAGCTAAAGATAGGTCATTATAGCAATCTCTCTATCTTCTTTTCATTTGCATTGTTATGTGAAACATACATTGGAATGCTTACAAGTTTTTTTTTTTGTAAAGGAAAAGAGGAAAAAATATAGCTCTATATGTTAAAGTCTTTCTGTTATATTTTCCTAGTAATCAGGAATATTTCCTTTCAAAGCTTGTAATTGTTTGCTAATCCAGTCTTTAACACTTCTGCAGTAGTTTTCTCCAAAAAAATTAATAGAGGGATTGTAGTTTTGTACTACTACTTGGTACAGGGTTGTTTCTCACTTGCCAGGCTTGTAGACTTATGCCCTGAGGCTGCAGGAAAATCTTAGGCAAAATTGGATTTTTCCCTCATCACCCGTCCAACCCACCCAACATTATGCGCCTTTTTTTATTTTTTTTGCTGAACATTACACGGGTTGGGAGAGTGATTTTTTTAGATTGGATAAAATATGGGTATTAAAAGTGTCTACCAAACCTCTCTTTTTGATGCTTCTCCTCAAATGTCTCTGCACTAACTACTCAACACAATAAAACCATTACAGAAATAAAAAGTGCCATATTTTATTTGTGACAAATACAAATCCATAACATGTTCGTGAAAGACTAACATAGCTAGGATGATTATTCACTAAAGCAATCCACAAATGGTTGACATTAAAGCAGAGAAATTGGAAGCTTGACATTTAATTGGTGTTGTTCCATTTCTTGTAGCCAGGAACCCATTTTGGACACATGGGACTGAAGTAGCTGGATACGACCCTTGAATTCAACAGCTCAATAAGGGGTGCATATTTCACACAACGGGGTGTCTTGTATTGGTTCATGGAAGATCCTAAGCTAATGCAGTAGTCCATGAGCTTGTCAAAAGTTCCAATTTCCACCACCCTAATTTCTAGAGGGCCGATTGATTTATTAGACGCACGGCCCTCGCGGTAGAAGTAGTTTAGAGATTCTTCAATTGTGAGGCAACAATCTTCAATGACTGATGGAGGAACTGGGGTAGAGTCATTCACACTCAGCTCCCAGAATAAGACATAGTGGCTTGGAATAGTGGTAATATCAACATAGCTGGTGTACTCGGTTACCTGAGCATCAAATGACATCAGATTGCCCACTGCATTTTTCATTGCGTTTTGTAGCTCAACTTCATTAGTGAAGTCAGCACCAATGCTCAAGATTACATTTTCCCGACATAGGAAGTTGAATTGAGGCGCTTTGTTCTTGTATCCAGCAACCCGAAGCACATCACCAACTCTGTATCTGTAGAGTCCTGAAATGACATAAATTCAAGCAAAGCTAAGCATTGACAGACTGCATGTTTGACTGATAAATGGGGAAAAAGAAAATGTGCCAAGAGCTTTTTAATTTGGCATTTGAAAATACCAGAATATGTGGTAACGACAAGCTCGTACTCCTGGCCAATCTTGACATCAGCCAAATCAACCAATTGTTGTTGTTCTTTCTCATCAAGCGACTGGGGCATGGAGATCGAATCAATGACTCCACTGTTTCCATGATACGGTAAGAACTCAAAATAGCAAATGGTGGGAATAAGGGTGTAAGAGACTTCGCTAGGCTTACAAAAAGGGTTCAAGTTGATTCCAAAGTGGCTTTCCGAGGAAGCATACACAGTACTGATAAGAGGGAGGTTGTTGCTGTAATAATCAAGTATCGGTATATATTGTGACATGGATCCAGTCACAACAGCATCCACATACTTGGTATTAGGCCACAACCTAGTGACGATCCCTTGCCATGACTCTTTACTGCATTCAACCTCAATGAAATCAGCTAATGTTGGGTCAGGTTTGAGGACTTCCATCACTGCCTCTCTCACTAAAGGATCAGTTATTTGGGTGTTAATCGTTCCGGTTCGGATATCATTACAAAGTAGAGACCAGTGCTTCTCCAAGAATCGGATGGCACGAATGAAGCTGGTCGCAAAAAAGGAGCCAACCTGGAAAACTTGTTGGTTTTGGCAGAGACCACAAAGCATTTGGGAGTACATGCTTTGGTAAGAGTCTGGGCAGAATGGCTGCAGTTGGACTAGTGTAGTTAAAGTGGGGGTAATGAAGACGACTGTAGTTGAAGTGAGGACTATTGTAAAAACTAGTTGTAAGAAAGCGAGCTACTAATCCTCCTGGGGTCTTCTGTTCAGGGCTTATGAACATGAAATACATTCCTTTGCCCTTTCCAAAATCTGGAGCCACTTGACTCAACACAGACATCAGAAGTTTGTGAAGCTGTAATCTCCTCTCAAGCTCTCCCTCTGTTGTTGGTATCAATTTGCTCTCCCCTCCAGACGTGCCAGAACTGCATCAAAACTTTCCCTTTAGCAAAAATTTATTTAGAATCGAGGATCCATCATATTCACACACATGCTAGAGCAACTTGTTAGGGTTTGCCCTGAAATCTATTAGGACTCTATTTCTTGAAGGAATGGAAGAAGACTCCTAAAAGTACTAAATCTCCTTAATATGTCTTATCCTTTTCGTGGAAGACAAGTTTTGCACATCTATAAATTAAGGATCTCTGCTTCTCACAAGTGCACAAAAAAACAAATATTCACAATTTAGTCATTAAAGAGTTTTGCTTAGGGGGATATTTTTCTCTCGATTGTTTTTCTTCTTTTACATTAATTTTATCATATGCAGATCAATTGACCAAACCACTATAAATTATTATGCCTAGTTTAATATTTTTTTTTTTTGTCTGATTTATCGTCCACCAAGCTTTGTATTGTTAGCTTCCGCATGCACCATGTTATTTCGATCCCAACACAACCTGCATGTACTGTTGAAGACATGATTAACTACTAAATAAAAGTGTGTTTTTTCTAACAGCTTAAGCTTTTCGATGAGATGGTCACATACTTCAATATGTACGGCCCAAAATGTGAGAGATCGATACATATCAATTTTTAACTTTCCATTAGAAAAAAGAAGGATTGGAGGAGAACCTTGACAATAATTCAGAGATGGGTTGGGAGCAGAGGATTGGAGATTTATCACCATAGGCTATACGGTTGATATCGGGCTGAATATCTTCGTAAGTGATGACAGGTACGACTTTCTTGAACGTCTCTCTATCAGTGCGGCCATTGAGATTATAGCGTTGCAAGTACTCAACATGTGCATTCTGGGAGAGGATTTCAGCAAGAGCTCTGCATTGGACCTCATCAACGTTGCTAGTCACCTCTTCAATGAAATCAAGATCCTTCTTGTAGTCCTCCGCCGTTATTGTGGCCTTTGGTGCCTCATTAGCTACGCTTGTTTCCATACTCTGAAGACTTACTATATTAGTAATTTGTACATACAAGGTGAAGTAAATGAATATTTGAGTACTGTATAGTATCAAGTGGGACTTTATATTAAGGAAGTTTTGGGGTTTAACACTATGTTTGGATCATTGTTACCCATCGTTTTATAATGTATTGTACTGTATTGTATTGTATTGTACTGTATCATTTTATGGATACAACTTTGGATAGATTTCATCGTTTGCTGTTGTTAAATAATATTTTTGTTGTTTGGTTTGACTGTATCGTACTGTACTGTAACTGATAAGTTTACTAAAATATCCTCAATTGTTTTAAATAAAATTTATCAAGAATTATGTATAAAAATAATTTAAAAATCTCTTTCTACTAATTTATCATCAATTATGTAGCTTGGAAACAAGAGCAAAAACTTGAAGAAAAAAGTTAACTATCATTAGCAAAAAACAAAATTCTAATACGATGAAAAGAGATAAAGAAACGAACAGAGATTTGGATGAAAAGAACGATACGAACCAACTCTGGAAAAGATGTACGTGGATAAAGTAGGTCAATAAGTTGGAGATTTGGAGTTAAAATAAAAAAGATAAAGGATAAAATAGAATTATGGAGTAATAACTAAGGGCATAATTGGAACAGAAAATACGAAACAATCCCACCACACCAAATCGGTTGTTTAAAAAATGGGGTTTTTGGTTGTTCCGGAACAATAGATTTAACAATACGATACAATCAATTTTAAATAAACAATCAAAACAAACATTGTTTCCAGATAACAATACAATACGATACAATGGGTAACAATCATCCAAACAAGCTGTAAATAAAACATATCCATGTCTCTCTCTCTCTCCTTTTGTTAATTTGGTTTAGGTAGTTTTCATAACGTGCTTAACACCTCACCTTCATACCATGTACGTACTACTTACTATTTATAAATTGCTTTTGACAATTGTGACTTGTGAGCATGGATTATAGATCCGTTGACATTGTGGCTCTCAGTCTATCCAGATCTGGATCCTTGATCTGTAATAACATTTAATCAATTAAAGAGCTGCTCAGTTTGGATTCTGAAATCTGAATTAATTTGTTAAGTTTTATTATTAAAATGATTGTTGACTAATAATAGTTATTATGTTACCATGTGATCCTTAACTGTAAGACGAAGAGCTGGTGACAAGAGGGGTTGCTCAGATGGTCAGCACCCTCCACCTACAACTCTAGGGTCATGGTCATGGGTTCGAGTCACCAAATGAGCAATAGGTCCAACAAAGAGGACCAAAGGGGAATCAAAATGGAGGGGAAAAAAAAAAAAAAAAGGAAGAGCTAGTGATTTGAACAAAAAACCCGTAAATGTTGACTGGTACTTGTCCATGATATACTGTTATAAAAATAGAAAGAAAAAAGAAAAAGTCATTCTACTTCCAGAATGTCCAAGAATGACATGGCCAATAGCTCAGGGAAGAAATTGAGGGAAAAATCATGTCAAGAAAAACTGTGGAAGGAACAAGTACTTCTCTATTCTTTCGCCTATAAAATAATTTTGCCTCGACGGCTAATTGTGAGCACATAATTTTTGCCCTATACATAAAATACTCTTAAAAGGTTAAAAAAAAATAGTTTTTAAATTATTTTGATTTTTGTTTGTTTAATTGATTGCATTTTTATCGCACTAGAAGATTATTTTCATCATCGCATCATTAGGAATGTTCTAAAAACCATGACAATCATTAAAAAAAAAAAATTGACTTTTATTCATTGCATTTTTTCTAAGGTTTAATTGCATATAGTTACACCTTCAAATGAAAATTACAAAAAAATCACATTAGTTGTTTCCTTTAAATTTTTGATTGTTCAATTGGTTTAATTATAATTAGTTTTAATTATTTAAACGCTATTTGGGTTAACTTTGCATTTAGACTCATTTAGATTTAAATTGGCTAGAGTTGAAATTTGAAGAAAGAAAGGAAAAGAGGTCCAAATAGGGCCCAAAATCTGGCCGCCCAGTTCACCAAAGCCTGTCTGTGGCCCGGTCCAAGCTGTGCCCACCAGATAGTCCAAACGACGTAGTTTGGTACCAAACTTACGTCTTTTTCCCTATTTCCTTCTTTTTAATAAAACACCCAAACTAAAAATATCATGTTTTTACACACCATACCTAATTTCCCTATTCATATCCTCTCCTGGGCGGCCGGAAATCATTTCCGCCGCCCACCGTCGTCCCTCCACCTTCATGACACTGTTGACCACCGTCTGACCTCCGCATGAAATCGTCCCCGGCGACGGGCCACCCCCAATTGACCCCAAATTTTCACCAAACACTCCTCACCACCTCCTCATCCCTAAGACATCATTATCTTCCCTAAAAAACCTCCCAAACTCGCTGAATAGAGGTTCTATGAAATAAAAATCCAAGATTTTTGTCCCTTTTCTAATTTTCTCCTGATTTTGCTCCTTTTAGTGACGAAACTTACATCACTCGACCACTCTTGATGAGAGAAGTCAATTGGTGTTCGTGCCGGTCTATTTTTGGTCAAACGGCCGTCGACCGGCCGGAATCCCTTTGAACTTTTCCCATTTTCTTTGCTCGGTTCTAACCTTCAATTCTTCAAGAATTTTTTGACCTATGAAATATTTATCGGATTTTAGTCCGGCCAAGTATTCATAGGTCGAAAATCTCCGGAGTTTTGAAGACTTAAACACATGGAGCTTCGTTCTTCTATCCTTGCATTCGATCTCATTAGGTAAATCACTCTCTCCTTTCTTTGCTTGGTTCAATTATTGCCATTTGTGGATCTAAATTAATTGTCAAGTTCATAAGCATGGTTTGGATTAGTCAATGATTCTTTATGACGAGTATTCACATGATTAAATTAGTGTTCAATCACATGTTTTAATTAGTATAAATTGCACTTCTATCCGATGGTAATTCTGATTGAGCTTATGTGAATTTGGACTCCACTTAGGCCTGCCCGTTTGATTTAATTCAAATTTGGGACTATTCTGTTGGATAGTCAGGCCCAGCGAGTGCAAAGCCCAATTAGGAAAAGATGTAGGTAGTAAGTTTGTTGGGCTAGAAGGCCCAGGCACAATGCTGAAAGAAATTGGTAATACATGGGAATTCAATCTAGGGAATCTTTTAATAACTGCTAGGAAGCTTCCTAGCAATGGAAAAGGGAACTGTTCAGCAAGAAAAGAGTGAGCAGGGGTTGGGTATTAAGGTCTGAGAGGCAAAAACAGAAATTTGGGGGAGTAAAAAGAAAAGAAAAGGCTGAAAGAAATCTGCTCTATATAACAAATGACCCTCTGCACATTTTCAGCGTTCATGCCCATCTCTGAAAATTTATACTTACTCGTTCATCTGCATACACTCTCACCCACAACTCACACACATAAAAGAGCTCACTCACAGTAAAAAAACAACTAAAAACCATTTCTGGAATTCAAATTTGTGATCCCAGATCTGAAGTCCGAAAATTCAAAACACAAACAAAGAAAAACAAAAGAAAAAAATAAGATACAGAAGAATTTCTAAAGTGAATTTGATTGTTGTTGATTTACTCCACTTTTTCTGGGTTCTAGAAGATTAATTACTCTGGAAAATGTTGCTTTGGCTACTGACTCTGTTGTTGGTTCTGTGATTTCGAGAGCTGAACTTCATCCCTCAACTTTCTGATATGTATTTGGTCTATCCTCACTGTTTTACCGCTACTAGGTATGATCAAAACCTTCTGTAATACTCCATTGATTTTCATGAATGAGGATCCGAGTTGTTCAGATCCATATGTATAATTAGTTTCATAGATGCACCATTATATTTGCCTATTGTTTCTTCTATGTTAGCTTATTGTTCTAATTATTTTTTATTAAATGCTTAAATTGAAACCATTCAGTGATCAAGCCTAGCAACTGCTCAATGCTTTGTTATGATTAGCTTCTCATGAATTCATCAATGGACTTGCCTATAATCGCTTCTTTGTTAGCCATTGATTCTGATTGTTTAAGCTGAAGCAGGTCATTAATTAGTAGATCCTAATTGCAGATTGCTGAAGCATGATGATTCTAGAAGCAGTAATGAATAGTTAATTTTAGAATTCAGACTAGTTTAACTCGTTGTAACATTGTTTCACATAGCAAGGTCATTAACGTCGCCTTTATTATAAATTCAACTTAGAATCCCTGATGTAATAAATTGTTGCTCTAATTTTGAACTCAGGTAGCCATATGCTTGATATTTCGGACAATTCATTTTTTTAACTCTTGTGATGAGATTTGATAATTGTACAGAACTAACTATTGGGCATTTGGGCCTCCATTTCCAGAAATATTGGGGCCAACGAGGTTGTACCATTAGTTTGGTATCTCGAAAAAAACTCTGAATCTCCTTTGCATATGGGTTCAAACTCTGAAATATTTGTGCTTCACCTTCCGCATCCACGATTCCTCACGTGCGATCAATCCCTCCACAAGTGCGATGACACCAGCAGACTTGGGACTTCAGCAATTAGGCTAAGTCTAAAATTGATCCGAATTTGATCTGAATCATAACCGGGGCCCTCGGGACCCCGTTCGAATATACCAACAAGTTCCAAAACAAATAACGGACCCACTCGAGGACAAAAATCACATCAAATAACATCAATTCTATGAATCGTAACCCAAATTAAAGCCTATGAACTATGAACATTCGATTTCCGAAACAAATGTCGATTCATACCAAAACAACTCCAATTGACTCCAAATTTTGCGCACAATTCATAAATGATATTACGGACCTATTTCAACTTCTAGAATCGGGATCCGACCCCAATATTAATAAAGTCAACTCCCGGTCAAACTTTCCAAATCTTCTATTTTCCAACTTTCGCCAATTCTCGGCGAAACGACGTATAGACCTCCAAATCAACATCCGGACATGCTCTTAAGTCTAAAATCAATGTACGGAACTATGGAACCATCAAAACTCTATTCCGGAGTCATCTACACAAAAGTCAAACTACGGTCGACTCTTTTAACTTAAGACTCCAACTTAGGGACTATGTGTCCCATTTCATTCTGAAACTCACCCGAAACCAAAACCAAACACCCAGGAAAGTCGCATAACTACAATATAACATAGAGGAAGAAATAATTGGGGGATCGGGGCTAAAATACTCAAAAAAATTGACCAGGTCATTACAGAATCCCTTTGAACTTTTCCCATTTTCTTTGCTCGGTTCTAACCTTCAATTCTTCAGGGATTTTTGACCTATGAAATGTTTATCGGATTAAATTCTGAACGAATATTCATAGGTCGAAAATCTCCGGTGTTTTGATGACTTAAACACATGGAGCTTCTATGATGACCCAAAAGGTCATCACTTGATTTACAAGTCAATTCTATGTTCCCAGGTCTTAAAACCCCCCTTTTATCTCACCTCAATTTTTGTGCGCGGTCTGGGCGTTTATCCGAAATGCTTTTATGTGAAAATTTGATAAAAATACTAATTTTGCCTTTAAAATTGAATTTAAGTTGACTTCGGTCAACATTTTGGGTAAACGGATCCGGACCCGTGATTTGACGATCCTAGAGGGTCTGTAGAAAAATATGGGACTTGGGCGTATGCCCGGAATCGGATTTCGAGGTCCCAAGCCCGAGAAATGAATTTTTGAAGAAAATTGTTTAACTGAAATTTTAAGAGTTTTTGGGAAATTTAAATGTGTTTGAATTTGATGGTATCGGGCCTGTATTATGGTTTCGGAGCCTGGTACATGTCTTATATGGTATTTAAGTTGTGCCTGTAAGATTTGGTAAGAAACGGACTTCATATGACGTGAATCGGACCCTCGGTTGTGAAATTTGAAACTTTAAGAGTTCTTGAAATTTTTCTTTGATTTTGATGCTAAACTCGTAGTTCGAGGTATTATTTTGGTGATTTGATCGCGCAAGCGAGTCCGTATGATGTTTTTAGGTTAGTGTGCATGTTTGGTTTAGAGCCCCGAGGGCTCGGGTGAGTTTTGGATAGGCCACGGAGTGAAATTGGACTTAGGAGAATTGCTGGTGTGTTGCAGATGTGTAGCAGGACTGTGATCTCGCAAATGCGAGATCAGGCATCGCAATTGCGATGCAAGCAGGGGTCGCAAATGCGAAGAACCCAGGGCCAGCCATTTCTCGCAAATGCGAGATATACTTCGCAAATGCGAAGTCTTCAGTATATGCCCAGAAGTCGCAAATGCAACGATTCCTTCGCCAATGCGAAGGAAGTAGGAGTCGCAAATGCGACATATACCTCGCAAATGCAAAGGTAGCAGGGTCCTTAAGGGTTTGTAATTGCGAACCCTGGTCGCAATTGCAACATCAGAGACCTGTTAAGTGAAATTTCAAACAGGATTTCAACCATTCTTACAACTCTTCAAACCTAAAACATCTTTGGGCGAATTTTCAAAGGCACAAACTCTTCCAAATCATTAGTAAGTAATTTCTAACTTATTTTCTTCAATCCATAACATCTTTTTACATGATTTCAATTCAAAATCAAGGGTTTTTCATGGGGAATTAGGTATTTTTGGGTAGAAGTTAGGATTTTCAAATTTTGGGGATTTGGACCTCGATTTGAGGTCCGATTTCAAATCAAATTATATATTTGAATTCGTGGGTGAATGGGTGATCGAGTTTTGGTTTGAACCTCAGATTTTGACCAAGCGGGCCCTGGGTCGATTTTTGACTTTTTGGGAAAAATGATAGAAAACCTATAAATTAGCATGGGGATTGAATTCTTTAGCATTTATTGATGTTGTTAAATTAATTTGGGCTAGATACAAGTAACTTGGAGGTGAATTCCAAAGGAAAACCGGTGTTTGAGGCTTGAGTTGACCGTGGAAGCTCGAGGTAAGTGTTTGGCCTAACCTTAGCTTGAGGGAATAGGTGTTGTGTCTTGTTTGCTATGTGTTGGTATCGAGTATGATGTATAGGTGAGGTGACGAGTAGCTATACGTTGGTTTAAAGCATGCCCGTGAGTCTTATATTCGGATTTGTTGTGATTTTACTATATATTGATCATGCTTAACTTGATGGTTAGCAACCGTGGTACAAGAATTATGATTATCTTCGTGGTATTTGTTTATCGTTGAGGTTTCATTTGTGAAGTTAATTGTTGGTACAAGTTTGGTTATAACTGATTCCCTTGCCGGGACGTATTTAATTCTTACTCTTGGTTCCCTTGCCGGGATGTGTTTATTCTTGTTGTTGATTCCCTTGCCGGGATATTGTTGTTTCCTTATTGTTTTGTGACGACCCAAAGGGGTCATCACCTGTTTTCTTATTCATTCCGTGCTTCCGAGGCCTTGAAAACCTCATTTGAGGTTGCCTCAATTTGTGTGCACAGTCCGGGCGCGTAGCCGAAAAGCTTAAATATGAATTGTGTGTGAAAAATGCTAAATTTTGATATTAATATGAATATATTTGACTTCGGTCAACATTTTGGGTAAACGGATCCGGACCCGTGATCTGACGGTCCCAGAGGGTCCGTAGAAAAATATAGGACTCGCGCGTATGCCCGAAAATTGAATTCCGAGGTCCCAAGCCCAAGAAATGAATTTTTTTTGTGTGAAATTGTTTTCTAGAAATAATTAAGGAAATTGGGAATGAAATTTGATTAGAAGACTATGGTATCCGGCCCGTATTTTGGTTCCGGCGCCTGGTACAAGTCTTATATATGATTTAAGCACTTTCTGCAAAGTTTGGTTGAAAATGGACGTCGTTTGACGTGTTTCGGACTTAAAATTGAAAATTGATGTTCTATGAAAAATTTGGAAGAAATCATGAGCTTTGAGGCTTGATTTGAGGTATATGATGTTGTTTTGGCAATTTGATCGCACGGATAATCCGTAGGATATTTTTGAGGTTGTGTGTATGTTTGGTTTGGAGCCCTGAAGGCTCGAGTGAGTTTCGAGTAGGTTCCGCGATGCCTTAGGCTTAAAATACCAGGTGTTGCAGGTTCAGGAAAATATTGCAGACTCTGAACCCTCCAGCGCGGTCCGCGAGAAATCGCGTGCGGCCGCGGAGGGGCCAGCGCGGCCGCGGTCGCCTTTGCGCGGTCCGCGGTTGGTGCTGTACGGTCGCGATCGCCTTTGCGCGGTCCGCGGTGGGAACTTCAGAGATCAGCAGGTCTTCAAGTAGGTCAGCGCGGCCGCGGTCCTTTTTGCGCGGTCCGCGCAGGGGACTTCCGAAGGGTATAAATAAACGGGAATTTCAGTCATTTTTTCACTTTTCAAAAACCCAAAACATAAGAGGTGATTTTCCCAACGATTCTTCTTCTTCAAAACGTTTGGTAAGTGACTTCTAACTCATTTTCTTCACTCCTTAACATCTTTTAACATAATTTCAACTTCAAATCAAAGATTTTAATGGGGAAATTTGGGTATGTCGGGTAGAACCTAGGCTTTGCTAAAATTGGGGATTTGGACTTCAATTTGAGGTCCGATTTTAAAACAGATTACATATTTGAGTTCGTGGGGGAATGGGTAACCGGGTTTTGGTTCGAACCTCAGGTTTTGACCACGTGGGCCCGGGGGCATTTTTGACCTTTTTGGGAAAAACTTGGGAAAACTTATTTTTCATGCATTGGGCTTGATTCATTTAGCATGTATTAATGAAATTGAGTAATTCGTGATTAGATACGAGCGAATTGGAGGTGGAATCGCAGGGTAAAGCCATAGTTGAGTTCAAGGCATCGAGGTAAGTGTTTGGTTTAACCCTAGCTTGAGGGAATAGGAGTTGAGTCTTATTTGTAACTTGCTAATTGTCGAGTACGATGTATAGGCATGGTGACAAGTATCTATACATTGGTGTCTAGCATGACCGTGAGTTCTTATTTGTGAATAGTTTGGTTGTTATTATGCCTTCCATGTTTAAATGATGACTTCTATATGTTGTAAAGACCTTGTGAAAGAAATTGTGATCTTGAAACTTCGTGGAGCATTGGCTCGGGTTGAAATATAAATTGTGAAGGTATAGGAGATAAGTTACTCTTTCGAGCATTGGCTCAAGTGATAATGTGAACTATGAGATGAAAGTGAAAGAAAGAAAAGAGTTAATGATTTATTCCCTTGCCGGGATTTAATTGTTCAATGGTGTTCCCTTGCCGGGATTTCTTTTATTATTTTGCTATTCCCTTGTCCCTTGTTTGTGATTGTTGTTTGGGTGAGGAACAGTGTTAAATCACGAAGGGTGATGCCGTGCACCGTTTGTTTATGGTAAGGAAAGAGTGTAAAACACG